CAAAACCATATAAAATCGTATTTATATCGACATGGATAAAAAATAAAACGAAACATTGAAATGGAAATGTGTCTCGATGCTTTGTACGAGTACCCTTCTAGTACTTTTAAGTGTTTATACAATTTATTTAATATATATTTACATTTTATATTTTAAGTTTTTAGTTATAAGTAAACTAGATTTGAAATTAAAACCTGTATTGTTTTATTTAAAAATAAAGAAATCCAAAATAAATAGGTATTTTAATTTAATTTTAGTTGAATTACTATTTAATTTAATTTTTAGTTGAATTACTATTAAAATTGTTGCATTCGATATGTTTTGATGTACTAAAATCTTGCGCATCAAAATAAATCATAGTGTTGACTTTTATCAATAAGCGCTTACCGGGTAAACGGCCCCTAAACGTGAAACAAAATGACAAAAACGACGATCAAAATTGTAATCAGTTTAAAGGAGAGAAAAAACTTGATACTGAGTAGCAACCGTAAGTATAAAAAATGTAACTTACGTTAATAATTATATGATAAATAAACTCACAGACTCTTCCATCTTCAGTAAAACTTGAACCCTTGATCTCCTAGAAGACAAAAGGACTCTAGATGGTAAGTCAAAGGCTATTTGAAACAAGATGGGTTTACGTTACAAAAAATTTAAAACTTACTACAACAAAACCGGATTTATAGGACGACAACAATTTCCAGGCGTCCCAGTAGACCTTTATAATGTTTAAGTTTATAGTATCAAAGCAATAAAACATCATATGTAAAGATATTGTAATAAGTTTATAGGACGTTTTTTAGTGTATTAACAAGAGTTTTAGAACATTTTTAGAACAAAATTTCATATTAGTCATTTTATACAACGTTTTTAAGAAGTGTTCTACGAGCACGTCTTTTTATAGGACACTTGTTTTTATAACACGCTTTTTCAAATATTGTTCTATGAAATAGTTAATATGACGGTTTTTATATAAAAAAAATGTCATTAAAAACTTGTAACAACGACCAAAAAACGTCATATAAACTGATTATAAAACCTTTTAGATATGACGTTTTGTTATTTAGTCCAAACAATCTATTATAACGCTTACACATTTTCGACGTCCTATAAACCTAATTTTGTTGTAGTGACATATACGGCTAGACCCAATAGAAAACATTGCATTTCAATCACACTTGGTAAGGTGAATAAATTTAAGGGAAATTGACCAAAATTGCCAGTCTCTCCAACCTCAATTTTTAGCCATTTTTTCAACGAAATTCTTATTTTAGTCAGAGTTTACGTAAATGTCTTACACATTTGTGTAAACTCGATTTTCAAATTAAAAGAAAAAATAGATTTTTGCATAAGGAACCCGGTTTGTGTAAATAAGTTTTTTTCTTTCTTTAAATCTGAAAATACTGTTTACACAAATGCGTAAGGCATTTACTCTGTCTAAAATGAGAATTTAATTCTAAAAATGATTAAAAAGTGAATTTGATTGGAAATACTGACTATTTTGGTAAATTTTCCTATGTTAAATAGTAAAAACTTTTGTGGGACCCATGATATTTTTTTTAGTAACCTGTATATCCAACTCGCTATGCAAGCTGACTAATCTCAGGACGACCACCTGCTTTGCACATAACCCAGAGTCACTGTATTTGAACTTTCGTGGCTACAAAAGGATTTTTATTTCTCCTTAGATTTGAACTGGGACATCCAGATACTTTTGATCTTTGAAGCCAAGCTCAAATCAATCAAACACTACCCTTATGATTCCCATAATAGTTTTTACCCTAAACGTGTATGGCGTTTTTAATGTTGAGGAAGAAGGCCATGAATCAATTCACCAAAAACGGGTTGCATGCCAAAAAACGTGAATGTTAAATAGTATCATATTTTATAAGATTTATAATGTTAAAGTTTGATATATATATATATATATATATATATATATATATATGGGATCATTCAAGGGAGAACTGATTAGTTTGTAGTAATTGTGAGATCCAATCTCAACCACAAATCAACGGATAAATTAGGAAATTAATAATTATGGTAGTTTGAGTTAAAATTATAATTAGAGGGCCTTTTAGGTATTTTGTAAAAAACTCCTCTAACCTCTCTCCTCTCTTATCTTTCCGACCTCCAATCTCCGGCCTCCGGTGAACATTAATCCGGCAGGTACCAAGTAATCACAAAGATACACAATGTGATACTCATTGTGATATATTGTGATACCATTGTGATACCAACTCAAACCTTAAAAACAAATATACACAATGTGATACTCATTGTGATATACTGTGATACCGATTTTACCGGAGGCCGAAGATTGGAGGTCGGAGAGATGAGAGAGGAGAGAGAAGTTTTTAAAAAATATCTAATATGCCCTCTAATTATAATTTTAACTTAAACTACCATAATTATTAATTTCCTAATTCATCCGTTGATTTGTGGTTGAGATTAGACCTCACAGTTACCACAAACTTATTTTTTTAATTAATAACAGTAGAGTATATCAATTTATTATACATACAAATATTGTTATTGACTTAGGGGCCGTTTACCTAAAAACTTACCCGGTAAGCGTTTATCGGTAAAATTCGACATTATCGTTTACTTACCGAGTAAGATTTTATTCACTAAAACGTATCGTATGTAACAATTTATCCCGGTAAGTGTTAACTATATTAAGAGTCGTCGCCCTCACTTACCGGGTAAGATTCTTAGTCTTTTTCATATTCATCCAGTAAAGTAACGTGACTTAATAAGTGTTTACCCGGATAAACGCTTGATAAACGGCACCTAAATTAGTTTGTGACACTGCATGTTGCTAGATAGCAGCATTTTATATTTTATTAGGAAATATAAAACCAAGTTAAAATGACATGTAATTAATTCATTAATCACAATTTGTATGCTCTAATAATAGTAATAATGCATAACAATGGTTCATCTCGTATTCACTTTTTATGGGTCATCTCGTATTTTTTTTATTAACCTGGATATCCAATCCGTTATGCGAGCCGACTAATCCTAGGGCGACCATCTGCTTTGCAGATAGCCCGAAGTCACCACATTTGAACCTCCGTGGCCACAAGAGGATTTTTATTCCTTCTTGGATTTGAACCTGAGACCTTCTGGTACTTGTATTCTTTTTTAAGGTTAAGTTAAAATGAAAACCTAAAAAAATAAAAAGAACTTTAACTCATTATGAACGAAATCTACAAAAATCTTCAACATTAAAAATATTTCGAAGTTTGATTACTAAAATAAAGCATAACTTAGGTGACGTTTATCAAACGTTTACCGGATAAGCGCTTACCAAGTCACTTTACCTTACAGGATGAATATGACAATGACTAAAAATCTTACCCGGTAAGAGCTAAGGCAATAATCGAAAGTCTTACCCGGTAAGTGAGGACGAAGACTCTTACCATGGTTAGCACTTACAGGGATAAATTGTTGCATACGACGTGTTTTAGTGAATAAAATCTTACCCGGTAAGTAAGCGATAATGAATTTTATTGGTAAGTGCTTTACCGGATAAGTGTTTAGGTAAACAACCTTAATTTCTCCAGAAGGTCCACCTTCGTTGGATTCACAAACCTATGTTATAGACTTCGAGTGTGCAGCATCAAAAGCCAGTTCATGATCCGTAAAACCTCATATCGTTGCAATTGTTCGAACGTTTCCACTAAGATTTTGAGTAATATAACACCATAAAAATTCTCACAACAATGTTCATGTCAATAAAAAAAAGTTATGTAGTTTTAAAGTAGTCGAAACCTAACACAATGTATGAATTCCGTATAAACGGCTCTATCAATGCAGCTTAAATTTTCAATTTGAATAACAAATTTAATCAAATCTTGTAATTAATGACAAGAATATCAAAGTTTAATTATTCGAATCCATCATCTCCCCTGAACCTAGAGCCCACGCTCAACCTTAGACCCTGAAGCCCTTGTCTGCAGTCCTGATCATATGATTTAGAGAAAACATTGATCATTGTTGCTCATGCGCCCCATCCCTTGCACCGATCAGTAAGTCGAAATCTTAGGGTTTTAGTCCATCTTCTATGATGCTTTTGTAATGTTGAATGCTTCTACCTTTTGTTTATTAAGTCATATATCTATACTATATTATAAAGCATTTGACAAAAACTTTTAAAACTCGTTTTTTATGCATGAAGTACTGTATATTGATGCATATTACTTAAAATTCAAGATTACAAGTAAATTATGTTTAAGTATAACTTATTAAAGCTTCATGTTTGAATTCGTGTAACTAATTGCGGATAAACATAATCAAATAAAGGATAAACATCTCATTTAAAATATAAAATATTTAAAATATAATTAGGATAATTATCGAGTTCTAAYAAAATAATTAATTATTATCTTTATAAGAAAATTATATTATTAAACTAAATATAAATTACTTCGTTATTAACCTAAATTATATTATAATAAAAAAAAATTAAATTAGAAAAATTATATAAAGAATGAGGAATTTTAAAAAGTTAATTTGATTCTAATTTTTTATTATTTTTTTATGATATTTTTAAATTTATATTTTATTCAAAAACAAAAATATCATGATGTTTTTCAAAATAACATAAGATTATAACATTAACTGAGATAAAGAATAAAATAAAATATTAAAATCAAAATCTATCTCGCTACATTATACGAGTATATTTCTAATATATATATATATATATATATATATATATATATACACACACATTGCTATTTCGATGGTTTTAATTCAAATTACATTCTTCTTAGAAATTAGGAATTAGGGGGTAGGGAATGTGAATATGGTTATTTTTATAAAAATGATTCAAGAACGATTACATTATTCAAAGCAAAAACTTCATCCAACTTCCTTCATAAAATATCACCAGAAAGAAAATGGGAAATTTGAATAAATGTGTATCATGATTAAACAAAAAACTAAATATAATAAAATCAATAAATTAATTATTAATTATTAATTATTATTTATTAATTCCCTCGAAAACAAGATTTCTTGTCTTTATCGTTCCTGGTTGCAACGCTGCCGTTGTTGTTGTTGCCGTAGATGGTATTGTTTACAGCACTGTTGGGGTGAGATCCGTCGTCGCCACCACCGCCGCCGCCACCAAGGATAGACGAAATAGCCACCGCTAAAGCAGCAGTAAAATTTGGATTATTTGTCAGGGCAGTCACGGTGTCGGCCAAAGCGGCTCGTGACGGCCCTTGGTTCATTTCCGATAAGGTTCCGGCCACCGTATCCTGAGATGATTGAAGCCCTGAGAATTTGGACTGGTTGTATAACCCCTGGCCGAATATCTGGGGGAGTAAGGCGGCGTTTTGGCCGGAAAACATCTGCTGTTGAGTGAGGTCTAATGTGACTGTGGGGAAAGGAGCGGAGGCTGAGATGGTGGCCATGCCGGAGGAGCAAGGGAGGAGAGTTGTTGCTAAGAAATTGGAGTTTATGATGCCGTCGGAGCTGGGCATGGATCCCGAGAGTAGCATCCTGGCGGCGGAGGAAGTGGTGGAGGATATGGCCATGGCGGCCGGTGGCAGAGGGTGGTTGTGATTGCCTTCGTAGGTGGTGATCAGAATCGTTTTATCTTCTGCACATCTTTGTACCTATTAATTCAAACACATTGTAAAATAAAAAATCATAAATTTCAAAATTATTTAGGGATTGTTTTACGGTTGATGAATGGTTTGGTGCAGAATAATTAAGTGGTCAGAATAATTAAGAGGCTCTCATGATATAGTGCAAAATGAAGTATAATTGTTTAATAATTGTTTATAATGAAATTAGGGCTCCTAATGATTAAGGGAGACCCATGATACAAAATCATTCAGATGATTTTAGAGCCACTAAGAGACAGACGTTTTTTTGTCAAACAAGATTCACCTCTTAATGATTTAAAAGTTACCTCTTAATGGAACTATTAGGAAGTAAACAAACAACCCCTTAGTCCTTGTGGTATGGGTAAGGTTATAGATTTGGTCCTTTTTATTTATTTATTACATAATAAGTCTCAATGTTTATATTTTGTTTGGGATTTGGTCCCTCTCGTTTTAACATCCTTCCACCGCCTCCGTTAACTATGAGGGGCAAATGGTCATTTTGTCATTTTTCCCTATTTTAACGGACTGAACGGACATTATGAACGATCGTTAGTGTGAGGACCAAATGCAAACATAGAGGTTTATTATGTAATAGATATAGATGAAGGGCCAAATACATAATTTACACTCTTTTCTTCAGATTGAGAATTAAATTACAAGAAACTTACTTGTTTCCTAACGGGGCAACCGACAGCCATGGTGCACCGATAATATGCTCGAGGAAATGGACTTCCTTTTGCCATCTTTTGCCCGTATTTTCTCCATTGACATCCATCTGTGATCTATACGAAAAAACTAATCAAATAATATAAGTTGTAACTGGGATCTCTATTTTTATTTTTGTAAAGAAACAAACCCAATAAATCCTATATTTAAAAAATTCTTGTTAATGCATGTAAACTCTCATGAATAACCTTCTAATTGACTTTAAAACTACAGAAGAAATTATTAATAATTCAGTATTAAAGATTTATACAAAAACGATTTAAAACATGGTCACACAAATTCGCAATTCGCCAATTTATATACAAATGTTGTCGTCAAATATATATATAACCCATATCATGCCCAAAATCAATATGTTAGAAGATGGTGTTGTGATTAGTTGGCTCTCATAGCGGGTTAGATTTGCAGGCTAATAAAAAACTCAAAAAAGAAGTTGTAAAATTAAACTTATATTGACTAGTAAATCTAATAAAAAAATTGAGGTAAATTATCATAATTCACCATATATGTTATTCACATAATCACATGTATAAAATCGAAACTCGAAATACAGATGAAATTAATAATCAGTGTAGAGGGCGTTTGGGATTGCTTATTTGAAACAATTTACGTTTTTCTACAAAAGCACTTATCAATTTATTATAAGTCAGAAGGGTTTAATTTCTTGAAAAACTTCTTATTACCGTTTTGACACCGATATAAGTCGTTTATCCAAAAACACTTAAAAATACTTATTACCGCTGTCACACCAAAATAAATTAATAAATTTTTTTATAAACAATCCCAAACATCCCTGTAAACTTAACTTCGTCATATATTTAAATAATGTGTCCTCTCCTTAGTTGTTATGGTGATGATTATGACATATACACAAATAGACCTTGTTCCAATAATAGGTCGTTCAAGAACTCAACACATGGGCTAACATTGAAAGGGTATAAATAGTGTTGTCCAATTGCATTGCCCTATTTAAACGGTATTGCTATTTGTACCTCTTAATATGATATGTTAAATATTTTGAAAATTGAACATTACTTAAAGACTATCAAATGTCGTAATCAATTAAATAATATTATATTTTTTATTACTATAATTGTTTTATATATTAATTTACATATATTATATATATATATATATATATATATTATCCATTATATATATTATTATTTTAAGTTATATTATATATACATATAATATTGTTTTTAATACATATCCACATACATTATATTTTTTTAACTAGAAGGGTACTTGCATAATGCAGCGAGATACATCTTGATTTTAATGTTTTGTTTTAATTCTTTTTTTGTTTCAGTCGATGTTATAATATGGTTTTGAGAAAGCGTAATGTTTTTATTTTTGAATAAAATATAAATATGATGAGTTCATAAAAAATTGAAAAAAAAAAATATTGATATTAGTACCACACGAACTATTTAAAATTTCTCATTTTCTTGTGTATTTCCTTAATTCATTTTTTTTATTTTTAGTTTAATAATATAATTTTTTATATTGATAATAATTAAGTATTTTATTAGAAGTCAATAATTATCCTAATTATATTTTAGATTTTTTAAAAAATTTTGTCAAATATTTTATAATATATTTATAAATATCTAATAGCGTAATTCATATACTTGGTTAGAGTTGTATAAAATAGAGGTAGTCACTCGTGTGTATATTTTGACTAATTATGTATCTACAATTACTTGCCCATGTAACTATTGTCTATATAAAGTGACTTCCTTTTAATATTCGTATAATTTTTAAAACCCGTAAAATCTAATATAAATCACGAATAATATTAAATTAAATGATAAATATTAGAAAATTAATAATAATCGTCATTTTCAATTAAAAGCTTACATAAAGGTTATTAAATAATT